AGCAAAAACAAAAACCCAGCAGCTCAGAGAACACTAAAGGCTTGCAGTGGAGTTTGAAAATATTGTTCTAGTCTCAGAATTAATTCTGTTTTATCCAGGGTCAGTTTCTCTATTTGTCTTCACATTATCTTTCAGATTGTTGGTTTTCTTCATGTCAGGAGTCCTCATAGAGATAATATCTAAAGTCAATGACACGAAAATAGGTTTTTATATAATTAAAGTTTAAAAGATAATCAACAAAATTTGAAACACAGACATAAACACTGGAAGAAATAAGAAAAAGGGAAGGTTAAGTAAGTACCAATCTATGCAGATCTTCATATTTTATGACTAAGAAATCAAGAAGTTAGAGAAGCAAACTATTCAGATATGTGACAGAAATCATTTAAAATTTTTTGATTTTGATTCTCAATACCCAAGACACAAAAATTTTGAAAGAATTAAAAATCATTGTTTCTGAGGCCATGAGTTGCCCCCCATGAGCAGCTCTCTGGCACGGCCATGGCACCAGAGGCACATGGAACAAATCCAGAGCCTAGCAGCATGTGGCAGAAATGTGAATGAACTATGCATTAAACTTCAGTGCCATGCCCACCTGGGAGGGAAAGGGTGTTGGGTGTCTGTCTCTTCTGCCTCTCCCTCTCCCCCCGCAGTATGGTGGCCACCGCCTCAGAGCTTGTTGGAAAGCCAGGTATGAGACTGAGGTGATGGGGCCACTGCAGCCTTATGGGAAGGGGGTGGAACCGGCTTGTCCTTCACGCCTGACCGAGGCCACGAGTTGCCCCCTGTGAGTGGCTCTCCGGCCATGGCACCAGACATACAGAAACCAATCTCGTAATTATACAGCTCTTGGCAGAAATCCCCCAGATTTAATTAATAAAATATCAGAAATCCAAATTGCATGGCTGCTACTGTGGCCGCGTGGCATCATATGGTTTTCATAACCAGCAAAAGAAAACAAATTATTTCACAATGCCTTTTCAGCAGTTCTGATTGTTGGGGGGAAATTCCAAACAATAATGGTGCATCTTTTGTTGAAATAATGAATGTATTCGAAGTAGAGAGAGAGCTAAGAAGAAATACTCTGACTCACAGGCATCGGGAGGGATGGGGGGGGGCTATATTGGGGTTCTTGGTGATGAAAAATAATTACTGGTGAGGGAAGGGGTGTTTGATTGTTGTATGACTAAGAGTTAGGCCTGAAAGCTTTGTAACTTTTCTTATGGTGATTCAATAAATTAATTAAAAAAATCATTGTTTCTGGTGGTAGGGACCAAGGTAAGGCATAGAGGTAAGGCATAAGGTAAGGCAAAGAAGACAGCTTCCCATTATAAACTCTGGAAATTTTTTTGTCTTGTTTTTGCCGTATGATTATTACTCTGTTAAATCTAATAAGACATATAGGAAATTCTAAACTGCATCATTCTTCTGTACTTAACTTAAGAATTTGTCTTGGGGGATTGGAGAGACAGTACAATGGGTAGGGCAACTGCCTTGCACATGGCCAACCCACCATCCCATATAGTTCACTGAGCACTGCCAGGAGTGATCTCTGAGTACAGAAACAAGAGTAAGTCCTGAGCACTACAGAGTTTGGCCTTCAAACCGAACCAAAAAAGAATGCTGTGGCCTTTGCATTTATGGTCTTATGACTACATTAAGATCTATGGGTGAGCAGATAGTTCAAGTCACAAGAGCTCAGTTCTATTATGTGTAAGGCCTTGAGTTTGATCCTTGGTAGCACATGTGCTGCCTTACATGGACCTAGGGTCTCCTATTAAAAAAAGAAAAATTCTGCAGACAATTTAGCTGTGCAATAGCTGATAGCCAACACCATTTCTAAAGTAATGTGTGTAGCAATGACTAATTAGTGGATAATTTATGAGTTATGACTTATAAGTAACACTATTTCCTGTTAAGGAGAATTTATAGATATGTTTTAGTTAGAAGGAGTGAAGATTTAAATTACATTGCACAAATGAAGTTATAGAAATCTTATTAAAAAATTGGAAAACCAATCAATACTATCAAAAGTAGATGAATCAATAAGAAAAGTGAAATTTCCCCTAATACATATTATGTTTATATAATATAATAATAATGTTTAAAGGCCCATATTTTATATATTATTATTTTTGGTTTGGGGGCAAGAGCTGATCATGCTTAGGTTGAGAAATTATTCTTTAAACAATAAAACAAAAGTTATTTTGTGTTCTGCTCTACCTGCATACCATATAAACATTGTTTTCAAAGAAAAGTTCTGGGGAAAAATCAAGACTACTTTTTAAAAAGTAAAATTTCACTATTAGCTAGATTTTTGGGGGTAAAATCATGACTTATAAAAAACTTTTAGTTAATTATTTATGCTTATAAAATGCTTATTAGAAGTCTTTCCTTTAAAACTCTGATAACATTGTTTTTCCAATTTATTAAGCTTTTCACTAAATCTTAGTACACTCATCATGTTGCTATCTACCAAGAATTTTAAATTAAGAAAAAGCTTGAGAACATTTGTTTTACAGAAAGGGTCTCAGAGGATTTTTCTTTTTCGGTTATACCCAGTGATGCTCAGGGGTTACTCCTGGCACTACATTCAGAAATTACTCCTGAAGGAGGTCGGGGGATGCAGGGGATCGAACCTAGGTTGGACATATGCAAGGCAAATGCCCCACATGCTGTACTGTTGCTCCAGTCCCTTAATAAGATTTTTTAAACATCATATAACAATCTCACTTCTATTTTTTTGCAAAGTAATTGCTCAAGAAAAATGCAGTGTTGGGACTGGAGAGATAGTACAGTCAGTTAGGCACTTTCTTTGCATGCAGCTGACCTGGGATTGATTCCTGGCACCCATATGGTCTCCCAAGCTCTGCTAGGAGTGACCCCCAAGTGCGAGCCAAGAGTAAGTCCTAAGTATTGCCAAGTGTGGCTCACAAACAAAAATAAAACAAAAAATATTGACTCACTTTGATGATCATAATCAATATGTGGTATAGAATTATTACAAGAGGACTCACCCAAACTTGGGTGAGAACCAAGAACTTATGGCTTAAGAAAACATGACCAAGTGTGAAGAGTACTGGAGAAAAGGCACTTGCCTTGCATGCAGACAACACTGGTTCAATCTCCTGCACCACATATGGTGCCCCAAGCACCACCAGGAGTGACCCCTGAACAGAGCCAGGAGTAAACCTTGAGTACTCCTAGGAGTGGCTCAGTCCTTCTACCCTCCCCCCAAACAAAGAAAAGTGACTCACTGTATAGAAGATACAACTCAAGTTCCTTTCCTGGCAGGTGTGCCTGCATAGCTAAGGGCAGATGCTTTAGTTATTCAAGGGCAGTGTTCACTGAGCATCCTCTCAGTGCCAGGTCCTTCAATAGACTCTGTGCCCACAAAGACTGACCATAGAGAACCCTCCTACTCCTAACATTCACCTAGCAGACAGCTGAGCTAGGACTACTCGTAAGCTGCACAGACTCTGTCACTGTCACTGTCACTGTCCTCCAGTTGTTCATTGATTTGCTTGAGCAGCCCAGTAACGTCTCTATCATGAGACTTGTTGATACTGTGTTTGGCATATTGAATACGTCACGGGTAGCTTGCCAGGCTTTGTCGCGCGGGGGAGATACTCTTGGTAGCTTGCTGGGCTCTCCGAGAGGGGCGGAGCAATCGAACCCGGCTCGGCAGAGCTGGCTGTGCGCAAGGCAAACGCCCTACCTGCTGTGCTATCGCTCCAGCCCTAACAAGTCAATTTTTTTTTTGCTCTCTCATTTCTTTTCATCATTAGAAAAAACATTTTGCAGTTCTGGGGATTAAACTCAGAGCCTTACATATGTGAGGTATGTGCTTTATTTGCTACTGAGCTGCATCCCTATAGCCTCTTTCCCTTTTTTTTTTCCTGCCAGGTTTATGGGGGCAATAGAAATAGAGGCAAGAACTTTACCAGAATAAAAATTGTTAGGAAAAGGGTTCAGTTGCTTATCAGAAAGATTTCGGCCTGTCTCACAGACACAAACTATTATTCTAGCCCAGGAGGCCTAAGCACATGCCTTTGAGTACCTCCTCTCCTCTGCCTTGGGGAGAGGAGGGCAGAATAGAAGGACCAGCAAAAGGGTGAGGAGGGTGTTGAAGGGAAGTGGGGAGGCACTATTGGATCCTCAAAGGGCAGATTCCGCATAGATTGCATTGGCGGGAAAATCACACCTTCATTGCTCACAATTGGCTTCTGGGGAATGGACTGGGACCCACTGAGATGAAGATGCATGAATGACAGTTCATACTACAGTGAGGATTGACTCAGTGTCCCACAGGGAACCCTGGAATAAAAAAATTTCCCCCATTGAGGCTGCACAGCAGATCAGGATGAAAATAGGAGATAAGAATTAGGAAGCAGTGCTAAAAGTAGTCTATAGACAAAACATGATTGCCACTCAATGCCTCTCTTGCAAAACACAGTACCCAAAAGAAGAGAGAGAGAACAAGGGGGAATACCCTGCCACAGAGGCAGGGTGGGATGGGGGGGGATGGGAGGTGGGGGGATGCTGGGACCCGTGGTGGTGGATGATGGGCACTGGTGGAGGGATGGGTACTTGATCATTGTATAACTGAAACCCAAGCACAAAATTTGTAAGTCTATAACTGTACCTCATGGTGTTTCACTAATAAAAAAAGAATTAGGAAGCAGAATGTTGCTTAGAAAGGCTGAAGCACACACCAAGGTCCAAAGAGACTGATCCCACAGCCGCAATTTTTTTTTGGCTTTTTGGGTCACATCCGGCGATGCTCAGGGGTTCCTCCTGGCTCTGCACTCAGGAATTACTCCTGGTGGTGCTCGGGGAACCATATGGGATGCTGGGAATCAAACTCGGGTCAGCTGTGTGCAAGGCAAACGCCCTACCCACTAAGCTACCGCTTCATTCCCCCCCCCCGCCACAATTTCTTATTAAAGAACAATCAGTTCATAAGCAACATATTCCTACCCTCACCAGATTGGATCTGCTCAGAGCTGAGCAAAAGGTGCTCCTTTTGAGGATGAGGGAAAAAAGAATGGGTGGGCAGAGCTGTCTTCCTCTGGGTCCACAGGTGACAAAGATTTGTAATACTCATCTTCACCATCAAGCACTTTAATTTGGCTGCAACAAAGAAAAGAGTTTGGACAGAAGAAGAAAAATAACCTGTCCCTTCTCATATGGGCTGCTGAAGTCCTTGAAGAACTGTGGACAGGGAGGGGCATGGTTCCATGAGGGAAGGACAACAGAGGGACACTCTGTATCTCCCAACCCAGAGGAACTGGGATCTGATCCAGTCTTTTACTTCTAGGTAACTCTCTGATAGTGAGTCCAATTGTAAGGTACGTGGAAGCTGTGATTATAATTAATGCAACTTGAACTATATGAATTATTGTGTCTGTCTTTTTCTAGTTCTCTCTAGATGAGCAAGTTCCCTTCCTCACCTGCACCATTTCTCAAACTTGTCCTAATTAGTTAGGTAACTGTGTCATGCCTATTCTCAACTGAGATGCTAACAATCAAATGAGCCACAAACCTCTAGGATCCTGTATCTAACTATTGAGGGGACAATATTCCTTTGTGCACTTTTTAAGGCCCAGGGATATGATTGGAGTGGTCTATTTGCACTACTGGAGTGTTTTTTATTTGCAGGGCAGTGTTTTATAATCCCTTGCTCACCTCCAATTGTGAAAAATATATAGTTCCCTAGGATAATCATGAGAAGAAACATTTGCCTTTAGGTGACAATTTTAGAGAGAATAATTTCAGGTTTATATACTGTTACTGTGAAAAGCAGTTTCTAGTAAGTGGCAATATCTCCACTTCTTTCTTTTAGAAGCCTCTCTGGAAAGTTTTGCATTTTCTGTAATATCACAAAGGACCCCTTCTGTTTACAGTTGCTTAGAACTAAGAAGACAGATATTTACCCAAGTTTTCTTGGCTTCCTCTTGCTCCCTTGATATTCTAGAGCTCCCTGTGGAGAGGGCCAAGAACACACAGTCAAAGCAAAGCAGCAAGTCGTTAATTTTTAATTCAAAGTGATTTTGTGTTGAATGCAAGCAGATGCTGATAATATCAGAAGTCACAGCATAATTTTTTTGATCAAAGGGCTCAAGTGAGCCTGATGAAGCATGCATCTTGCTCGTCTTTGATAAACCACATCAATTATTCACCGTGAAGGCAGACATCCTGACATGAAAGCAACAGATAAAGAGCCTAAGCACATGTTCAGGACGGCGCACAGAAGAGAGTGGGGGTGGGGCTGGCGGGACTGGAACAGGTATTAATAACAGAATTATTAACTGGAAACAAAGCCAGGGAAGCAGTTTTATGGCCACTTTGAACTCACATTTAGCTGGTTATAGTACATGGTGTCCTCGGGGCTACTCAACATTTTGGGCTGCTGACATCTTCGGCGGGATGTTCGCTGCTTCTGTGCAAGACTCTGTTCTGAACCTGAAACGAGAGAGCAACACTTTTCACCCATCTGGAGTGTGGGGAAGACTGAGTGAACAATCATTCTTTGCACAAAGACTGGGAGGCTATGTCCCATCTGAATTGGCACTGGGGAGCCTGTTAATAAGGGGGGGGGAGTCATCTTACAGTAGGTTGCACTGAGGGGACACAAGGGCCATTTTTTGTAGCTTTGTCCTCAATTTTAAAAAAATGAAGGCCAGAGTGATAGTCCAGTGAGTAGGTGTTTGCCTTGCATGTGGCCAACTTGGGTTAGATCCCCAGCTTCCCATACAGTCCCCTGAGCAATGCCAGGAGTAATTTATGAGTTCAGAGCTAGGAGTAACCTTTGACTATCTACAGGTGTGCTATGCCCCTCTCCCTCCAAAAAATTTGAATCAGCAAAGAAAAAAATCACATTAGTCTGTCCATACGCTGGAGGTAGACAGGTTGATGGTGAGGTTTTGTGGAAGCTTATGCCCTGGCATGAGAGACAACAGTGACCCCAGAGAGTTTGCAGCAAGTCCTAGAGAGCTCTCAGACATCTGGAGCACACACTCTCTTGGGTAGATGAGAAGCAAACCTTTGGGGGTTTTACTGATATGCTTTGAACAATGCCACTGAACCATGCAATCTTTGGAGATGGTGGAAAGGGATTGGGAAGGATGAGTGCATGATTTCACGCAGCAGTTTCTCTGCCAGTCCTGATTTCAGACCCCTTGACCAAGAGTGCCCTGGAGATGAAGAAACATGTGTCTATTGATGTCATGGTTCATTGTCCTTCCATGCAGATGATTTTCACAGAGCCTGATGTTCATTTGGTACCATATTTAATCAGGATTCAGCAGTTTGAATGCCACATTATATACACACACCTGTTATAGAATATTACTTAGGAATATCATAGCTCAGAGGACAGGTCACTTTCCCGCACGAAGGTGCATCGTAAATTATTAAAACATCAGAAGTTTGTATTTGGAATTGTAGTTTGGCTTCACTAGAGATTCTTACTCTATGTATTTACGTATTTAATCTTGGGTTCTCCCAAGCTGTGCAGATACTTGGTCAGTCGGGTTGTATGGTTCTATGCTTGGACCCTGGATGTGATGCTGCAAGACCACAGTCTTGCTCAGGGAACAACAATTGTACTGGGTAATAAAACTCAGACTCTAGCCCCTGAGACATGTCCCCTGCTTAATTCTTAGATTCTTATGATTTATGAAACACAACAAACACTGTCCTCCCGTTGTTCATCAATTTGCTAGAGCGGGCCCAGTAACATTGTGAGACTTGTTACTGTGTTTGGCATATCAAATACGTCATGGGGAGCTTGCCAGGCTCTGCCGTGCGGGTGAGATACTCTCGGTAGCTTGCCGGGCTCTCCGAGAGGGGCGGAGGAATCGAACCTGGCTCGGCTGGGCTGGCTGTATGCAAGGCAAACGCCCTACCTCTGTGCTATCGCTCCAGCCCCATGATTTATGAAAATTCTGGAAATAAATTTTAAAGAGTAATTCAGCAAGGACAGATCATGGTGCGCAGTGAGTTACTTTGTTTTCTAAGTATGTGAGTTAGCATTTAAATTTTTTCCTTAAATTAGGACACATATGTTTGAACTAGAGAATTATATAGAACTTAAGAACCAGTAGTTCTAAACACTCCTTTTCTTTTTCCCCCTTTTTTATTATATTTAATTTTTTGGCCATACTCAGTGCTCAGGGTTTACTCCTGTCACTGCTTTCAGGAATCAGTTCTGGCAAGGTTTGGGGGACTATATGGGGTGCTGGAGATTGAACTCAGGTGAGACGCATGTGAGGCAAGCACCCTACCCACTAAACTGTCTCTCTAGACTCCTCCAACACTCTTATTTTCTTTAGAAAAGAAAATGGAGTCCCATAGATGTTGAAAGTTTTATCCCAGATCAACTGGTAAACTGAGGATCCAAAGATCTCTTAATCTTGTTCCAACAGGGTCTTTTAAATAACTCAGCAGCATATTGTCTTAACAAGAAATCCTTCTATTCTCCCCATTTGTGGAGTTGCTGTGCTCACCAGGCAGAGTAGATAGAGCAAGCTCGTTCTTTTTTTTGGGGGGGGCACACACAGTGATGCTCAGGAGTTACTCCTGGTTCTGCACTCAGGAATTACTCCTGGCAGTGCTTGGGGGACCATATGGGATGGTTGGCCGTGAGTAAGGCAGACACCCTATAGGGTGTACTACCTCTCCAGCCCTAGCTCAAGATCTTATTCCAACTTTTTGCTCCAAGACCCCACTTGCCTCGAAAGAGCAGATACAACAGATATTAAATGGATAAAAACACATATGACTCTTAATCTTAAACAAAGGGACAAAAGCAATGAGAAACAAATATTTCCCCTGTGACTTCCTTTCCCTTTTATTTTGTTGTCATAATTGATAGTCATACACATATTTGGTTGTGCATAATCATTTGGTTGTAGTGCTCATACTCAGCCTCTGTGTTTATGAGGGGTTGCATTCCTTGAGTGTTGGAACTCCTTTAGTTGAGGTGAGTGTACTACAGCTTCTGGTTGGAGTGCTCTCCAGTGGTCACTGTGGTACTCACACTGTATGGTGCTCACACATCCTTTAACTGTAGTGCTTGCTGAGGGATGCACCCTTTTCCTGGGTGTGGTGCGGATGGTAATCATTGTGGTGCAGGCGCTCACTTACAGAGCAACAAGGCATGAGTAGCCAGGATCATGCTCAGCACATGTGGGGACCACAGTGGACTGAACTGTGGCTTTACACTTGAAAGGAAAGCAACTTTCACTACTGAGAGATTTCCTATACTTGAAAAATGAATAGTTTTTTTGGCTTTTTGGGTCACACCTGGTGATGCTCAGGGGTTACTCCTACTCTGTACTCAGGAATTACTCCTGGCATTGCTCAGGGGACCACATGAGATGCCTGGGATCAAACCCAGGTTGGCCACATGCAAGGCAAAACCCCATACCTTCTCTACTATCGCTTTGCCCCCCCCTCCATTCTTTTTTTTTTTTAAAGTGAAAGATCTGGGGCCAGAGAGCTAATACAGGTGCTAAGGTGTGTGACTTATAACCCAGGTTCCCAGGTTCTCCTTTCTTTTCTTGGTTTTTTCTTTTTTGCTTTTTGGGTCATACCTGGCGATGCTCAGGGGTTACTCCTGGCTCTGCACTCAGGAATTACTCCTGGTGGTGCTCGGGGGCCCATATGGGATGCTGGGAATTGAACCCAGGTCGGCTGCATGCAAGGCAAATGCCCTACCTGCTGTGCTATCACTCCAGACCCTTTTTGACATTTTTTGAGCTGTACTTGGCAATGCTCAGAGCTGCTTCTGGCTCTCTGATCAAGGATCACTCCTGACTCTGTGCTCAGGAAACCCTGTGCAGTGGCAGGAATGGAACCAGGTAAGCTGAATGCAAGGCAAGTGCTTTAACTCTCATGACCAGCCCATGACCCAAGTTCAATCCCTGGCACTGCATATGACTCCCTGAGAATTTCTATGTGTTATCTTTGGACACAGAACCTGGAATAGCTCCTGAGCACCACTGGGTGTGACCCAATTCCACCATCCCCCAAATGGAAAAAAAAAAAGGAAGGTCTAAGTAAAAGTTTCATGAAAAATTATCAGCTACTATAGCAAAATGTTGCTTGTAGAGTGTCCAGTAACCTTACAGACAGCCATCCCTACATCTCCTGATTTTCTGTCTCAAGGCAGGGTTCCAGCCTCTTACGTTGGTGTCATTCTCAGAGGAATCCAAAATCAAAGAGGATTCTTTCATAGAGAATCAACACTCCTAACTTCTGCTTCTTTTGTGAAGTTTATGTTGTTTAATGTGATAGAATATGAGGTTCTGAGGCTCACTTATATTATCTACTTTCCAATTTATAGATTAGTGAACAGCAGTCTCCAAAGTTAAAGCTATTGGTGTAAACATGCTTTGGAGATCTAACATAGACTTTCTAATATTAAAGGAATTCCAGTCATGTTAATGAAAAAGACTGATCTTGAACAGGTTGAGATAAACTCAAGCTGATCATAATTCACTTGAACTTTTTACAGTATTTACACTTAGCCAAAGACTTTCATTTAAATTCTTCACTGCAAATGTTTAATCTTAGATGTGGTTCCTAATTTGCAATCTTGAGTTAGTGTTCTTCTTCTGGTTCTTAGAAGGATTTACATCGATGGATACAATATTCTCAACTTTGTAATTTCTCTCACTAAATAAAAAAATTATCTGTATAATCATATGGTATCTATACTACAACTAGAATCTGGTATAAGATGCTATTATTTGATTTAGCACCAAAGTTTAATTTTTATTATTTTAATGTTAATATCACCATATCTTATTTAATGTTTGGAACAGAATGCTATTGTTTCCAAGTGTTTTCTTATTTTTTTCCAAGTAATTTTTAAAATTTAGGCACTGTGATTTATAAATGTGTCCATAATAGAGTTTCAGACATACAGTGTTCCAACATCAATCTCACCACCAGTGTTAAATTTTCTCCACTAATTTCCCTAGGTTTCCTTCAAAATCCCAGCCTGTCTCCTTAACAGGAACACTTTAAAGTTTTATTGTGGTAATTTGGGTCTCATGTTTGGGCATTTTGGGGTTTGTCATATATATATATATATATATATATATATATACTCGTAAAGGTAAAGGCCCTCCCGTTGATCGTCAATTTGCTCGAGCGGGCCCAGTAACGTCTCCATTGGAGACTTTGTTGTTACTGTGTCTGGCATATACAATACTCTCGGTAGCTTGCCGGGCTCTCCGAGAGAGGCGGAGGAATCGAACTCGGGTCGGCCATGTTGGCCGCTTGTAAGGCAAACGCCCTACATATATACTCACCTCTATCACTGATGCGTCCTAGGTTCTTGACCCTTGCCCTGTTACCCCTGCCTTCCTCTTTTTACTTCCCCTTTCATTTTCTTTTCTTTCTTATCATTTCTGTAATCTAGAGCCAGTGTTTTCCCTACCTCTGATACCTTA